AATAAATATATATATACATATTCTCGCAAATCGCTACTCGATATGCCCACATATCTATCGAAGATGGAGATGCATAATAATACCCACTATCGGTATTTCATGTACTTGGTAACACGATTGTACAAACAGGCATCCTCGTTGATGCTCTGCCTTACTTGCACCGATTTAATACTAACAGTTGCGCACATGCACTAAACCGATTGTATGCTGCCTCCGCATTGTGTTGATTATAGTTACGCTCGAATATATCAAAGGCGACAAACTCAGCGCGGGGGCCATTGCCGGCATCGCAGTGGGCTGTGTGACTATTGTATCGCTGGTTGGACTGCTCTTCTTGTTCCTTTACAGACGGTATGTACCCTAGGTGTATTTACATTTCGGGTTCGTTTACAGACTAGTGTACGATTTTTTGTGTCCTTGTATGTATTTAACAGACGGTAGACTATATATATATATATATATATATATATGAGTATGCACCTGATGCTCTAGGCTTGTTAAGAGAGGTAGGGCTCAGGTATCACCGCAGAAATTTTAATGAGAGAACCATCTTTGTATTGGGATTCTGTGCGTTTTATGCTTCTTTTTCAGGCGGTATAATTATATATTTTGGTACGTGTATGGAGATAAATAGCCGCATGTATATGCACAAACATATATGTTGTTGGCCTGTTTATGTAAACGCAGAAAGTGCGAATACACCAGGCAGTTTGCGATGACTTACAGTATCCAATCTTGCCTACACAAACCCATACAGACATCAGAGAATCGAAAGCAGAATGCAGGACAAAATGAACAACATCGCCAAGACGCTGTTTAATAGGGGAGGCTCCATTTACAGCGAAACAGTTCTGCGAGCAATGCAGAAGTCGGTAAGTGTACAACGCATCTCAGCACGGGCTAGAGTGGTTGTAGGCTACCACACACAACATGTGCCAAAAGTAGGCGGCCGTATATTTCTGACACTGCAACGAGTAATACTCTGCAGTGACACCTTCATTATTTCATATATCGAGGAAGTGTATCTGTTCTGGTATTCCAGCACGACCCAACCTTTACTTGTTCTATTTATAGGCCAAACCAATCGATCGGGACAGCTTCACCATGCTGGAGTGTATCGGTTCGGGTCAATTCGGCACAGTCAACAAGGGCGTAGTTTTCCGGGCGAATCAATCGTCAATATGCGCCATTAAGGTTACCAAGTAAATGTTTTTCTAAATATAGTTTAGCAAGTGAGTCTATCTCTAAGTAAATGTTACAATTATGTATATTAGATCACTGCGTATATTTTAATACATGCACATGTCCCATAGTATTATGAACATCTTTTTAAGATACTGTTGCCGAGTATATGTAGTACTATGTGATTGTCACCGGTTGTGTGCATTCATATCATGTAATGCAAACGTTTCGAAGAAATATACCAACCCTCGCTTTTGTAATTACTATGGGAGGGGGTGAGTGTAATTGTTCCATGCTAAAGTAGTTTGAATATCCGGCAAATTCTTTTTAGTCACATGCCTATTTTACACAAAAGTACAGACTTTTAAGCCTACTATTCTTTTCTTTATTTCTTTCTTGCTTTTACTTCCCGATGCTCTCAATCAGAATGGATTCTGGCGATGACATATCGAAAGAAGCACAAATCATGCGCAGTATCACGCATGCCAATGTGGTTCGAGCATTTGGTCTGTGCTCGGACAGTGGCGATTTGTTTCTCCTGCTGGAATTCTGTGATTTGGGTAAGCTTCATACAGTTGTCTGTACGTCTTCACAGTATGATTTTGCCCAAGTTTTATATACTTCTCGTCAAGAATCTGCTTTATATTTTTTTTTGGTATTTGCGATTTGTCCTTGTTTGCTGATGTCAATTAGAGTTCACTCGCCGTGTTGTGGATAAAGCATTTGTCCTGTACTCTAACGGTGACAGTTTCTCTATCCTATCCGAGTCCGGCTGTTTAGGACAAGGGCACTATAGTTCTCACCAAGAATTTTGAAACATCTGTAAATGGGGTCACCACACTATGATGGAAGTATGAGTAAAATAATGCGTGCCATTATCCGATTTCGTTGTTGTTTTCTGCTGGCCATCAGTCCGCCTTCATCCCGCACAGTGGCACCAAAATGTCATGTTTATGGAAAGACCAATTGACCTGGACTCGAACAGTGGCGATGTCACTCTTTGATTACAGTTCTGGTTTGTTCAGATAAAGTGTACATAAGCCACCAACACAACTCTGCACTCTACAGTGTTCTCCAATATACGACTTAATCAATTATGATCAATTATTCCGCTTATGCCCGTACAGCAGCAAATTCGCATGTCATTTGATTAAACATTTAGAGTTGAACAAACTTCACTTTCTGTACCCACCTCACACTCAACCGGGCCTCCACAGGTGACGCACAACACCACCTGCAGGGACTGTCACATTTAAACACTCCGGTCCCTATGCGAATCAAAATCATGATTCTCGAGCAGATCGCCTCTGGTATGAAGTACTTGGATGATATGAAAATAGTGCACCGCGATATAGCGGCTCGGAATGTGTTGTTACAGGCACCCAACGCACACAACAGGTAAGCTTTGGCAAATTGAGAATTTGTAGAGCCTCTTGCGAATGAGATTTTGTTGACTTGCGGAAGACTAACTGAATCGGAAATTTCTTTGTATCTTTACTATAAACAAAAGACGCACACACACATATGTACATATAT